TTATGCTGGGCAGAAGTTGCCCAAACCTGTCTTGGGCAAACTGGAATGTTTGGTCATCCCAATTTCTCGAGCCTTTCCTGTGTGCCAGGCATCATGATAGGGTCTTGATTCCGGTCATTTAATTCCCCACTCACTCCAGTGAGTAGATCCTTAAGGGACACACCTTGATGAGTCTCAAAAGCAGAACTGAGGGACGCCTCAGTGGCTCAGTGGTTGAGCATCTGCCTTCAGCTCAGGTCCTGATCCTGGGTCCAGGGATTGAGTCCTGCATTGGGTTCCCTGCAGGGAGCCTGCTTCTCCCTCTGCCTGTGTCTCTGCCTTTATTTCTCACGAATAAATAAATAAAATCTTAAAAAAAAAAAAGAATGGATTTCCTTTTGCATTCCACTTCCTACTCCAGAACCTTTTTCATCCACCATCAAGTTTAGAAAACCTCTGTTGATGCTCAGGGCATCCAGCTACTCTACTGCATACCCTTCCTAGTCACTGATATCCAGCTGCCACGTGCCTCTGCTTCCCGTCAAATTAAAGGCTTTGGCACTTGAATTTAAGACTTTCTCTGCACCCCAGGTCCTGCTGCTGTCCCTTTCACTGGCTCTGGCTTTTAAGTATGCAGTGCATGCCCCATGCGACCGCCAGGCCTCATCTTCCCCTAACTTCTTCCTCTGTAGGGCCTGAACCTCAGGGCGGCCCAGTCACCCACTGCTCCAACCACACCCTAGGCCTCACCACAACTTCCTGTTGTATCTCCCCCATTCCTCATCTACCTGTTCTAAGTCACCCCAACAGTCTTCTAGTGCCTTCATTATGCTGTCAGTGGTGTGTTGGTCGATTATTAACATGCTCTTTGGAGAAGTACCAGATGCCGGGATGTACATAAGCTTATGAATTTGCTGCCATGAAGGATGTGTAGTATACAATTTGCAAATAATAAAATATACCATACTCTGTATTGTAAATTCTGTCAGGCCAAGTGATTTTCACAAAATGCTTTCGTTAATTTTTGCCAAACTCTTCTAACTGGAGCTAACATATTACAGGGACTCAGCCTGGATTAGATGAATGGACTTGCATCCCCACAGACTTCTTTTCTCAATAAATGTATTTTTTTCAGTAAATTTAACTGATAGCACTTACTGTTAAACTATTTCTTACCCTCATTCAAATTACATTCATTCAACTGAAACTGTTCAGCTTCAGCAGCGCAGTAGCACACCATAAACAATATTCCCAACAGACAGACACAAGCCACAGACCTCAAAAGCAGACAATGTACAATGTAGTACATTAGGAGGAAACTCATTAGTGATGCGTGTTGAGCATTAACTACGCTTGTTTTTCTTAATATAACTTAATAGTTTATCTAATTTAATGGTAAAAAATGGTGGTATTTAAAAATCAGCTCTCAATGGGGCACCTGGGTGGCTCAGTCGATTAAGCATCCAAGTCTTGGTTTCGGCTCATGATCTTAGGGTTGTGAGATTGAAATCCCAGTCAGGTTCTGGACATGGAGCCTGCTCAAGATTCTCTCTCTCGTTCGCCCTCTGTCCCTCCTCCCACTCCTCTTGGGGAAAAACAAAAAAACAAAAAACAAAAATCAGCTCTCAAAATCCCTGCAAATCTAAGCACCACTTCTCATGAACTAGAAGGGGAGGCTCCAAAACCTCACTGTGGCCGCCACAACATCAAGCTTTTCCTCCCTTCCCCATCCCTATCACACAGAAGGATGGCCTACAGGGGACACATTGGAGTTGGTGTCCTCCACTGTCTACTGGGAGAACATGAGCAGGGTGAAGTCAAGGTCAAGCAGCCTAAAAGGTCTCTCAATTTTCTTAGTATGGGTCCATGAAGAACTCCTTGCAAACCAATATCACAACTAGTTTGAACCAGGCACATAGTAGGTTTACAACTTAGTAACTATTTCTCAAGTTAACAAGAAAAGAAAGGCCTACCCTTGGGAGTATAGGCCTGGCCAATTGTTTGCACTCCCCCACTTAAGAGATTAAGAGTACAAATAAGAATGCAGAAAAGATGGACATGAACCAGAAGCCTCTCCCACTCATCCGGCAGGACGTGCTGACTGTCCAAAAGCCCCATTAAGGAAACAAATCCCCAAAACCTACTATTACCTACACTGACACCAACTCACACATACAAGGTCTTTCTCCCGGACACAGGAAACCATCAGCAGACATTACCTCATCCTCTAATCCTCAAATCAAACCTGGGAGGCAGGTAGTAGTAGGTGTCCTCCACTTTCCTTATCCGTGGGGCAATCACTTCCCAAGCATCAAAGATCACACTGTGCAAATGTACCTAGTGTCCCTGACACCAGCACAAACCAGGCAATGGGCAACAGTGCTCTAGTTCTGCAACCAAGCACTGAAGTGCAGAATGGACCTCCCCTTTATCCCAAAGCAGCAGAAAGAAAACTCTGGTTTAAACTGGCCCACTGTGAGGCCTATAGTAAGCAGCTGTCTCAATGAAAGTCATCTCAGTGAGGCAATTTTCCTATAGTTACCCCAAAATGCTTACAGAAACTCTAGCAGTACCAGTACCCAACATGGCTCCCATCCACAACTTTGAAGGTCTTTGCAAATTCTTAAAAGTTGCTTGTTTCGGGGACTGGAGCTCATGGAAGGAATGAGATGTAAAGAATGAATAGCTAAGCCCTCACAAAGTTGCCCTCTTTCTTCCTGGAAGATGTAAATCCTTACTTTTCACCAGTGGTTTCCAATGCAAACAAGACTTGCACTTTTGGGAGACAGAAACGCGGTAAAAGTACAAATGCCAAGAAATTTCATTTAGCTTGAGCTTTCGAGCGACTGGGAGGCTGGAGTAGGGGAGATGACAGCATCAAGCTGCCACTAGTCAAGCTAAGAAAAGTTGGCCCCAACCTCCTTTACTAGAACAGATGAATGGCTTCTCAGTGTGGGGCTTCTTCCACTGCCCCTCACAGGCAAAACTGCTAAAGCCAGGTGCCCACAGACAGCCTCCCTTCATCAGCCACCTTCAGTAACTAAGAGATCTCTTGAACTTCTGGATGTCGGTGCCACTCAGTAGCTTCCTCCAAAGGATCTAGATACCTTCGGCTCACATGGTAGCTGTCACCATTTCACATCCCGTTTCCTGACCTATCACCTAGTCCCAATGGGACTCCCTGCGTTCTTCCTTCTCTCACACCAGGATACATACCTCCCCTTCCATTCCACAGAAATGTCGTTTTCCAGTTTAAGTAACTGGAAAACATCTGAGAGTCCATATATGTAAGTTATCATCAGTGTAAATTTTAAAAAAGATTCTATTTTAGAGAGCATGTGCATAGGAGCAGGGAGAGAATAGGGAGAGGAAAAGAATAGGGAGAAGGAAAAGAATCTCCAGCACTTGGTCCTGAGGAGCCTGACCCCACCACCCTGAGATCTTGACCTGAGCCAAAATCAAGCTTTAGACGACGCCTCACTGACGGAGCCACCCAGGAGCCCCACCAGTTTTTTATATTGAAATAATGAAATAGCAAATGGAGTAAGATATCTGGCATGACTGCACCCTCACATTGGGATGTCACAGCCCAAGCTGGGCACAGGCTCATGGGCCTGTGATGAGCAAGAACAGACAAGAAGTTCCATGTGCACGTTGATAGCATCTAATTCAGAGACTGCTACTTGGTGCGATACATCTTGTAGAGCCAGCCCTTCACCTACATAACCACACCAACCAGTGTACCTTTAACTAGCACATCATTGTGAGGAGCCAGCTCAGACCTGAAGAAACAATAGCTAAAGCAAAGTCCTTCAGTGTGGCAGGTTCACTGGTCAAGAAAGTCCTGGGCACACATCCTGATTTTACCGTCAGCAGTCTGGTCGCAGCAGGGGCCTATCTATGTTCAGCCCAAGAAGTTTCTCCTTTTACATGAAGCACCGAGTTCCAGCCCCGGGATCCACCCGGGGTATCTTTCCACTGCATTGCTTCCTCTGATCAAGTGATGTCAAAACTTGGGAGTTGGCCTCAGTCGGTAACATTAGATGCACAATTTTGTGTATATGCACAGAGGGTTGTGAAAAGAGCCTGCTGGCTTGAGTTCTGGCAGTACAATCAGAGCATTTCTCTGCATTTGTGCTAGAGAAGTTTTCAAAGTCATCTGTGCCTGAGCCCCAGGGTCTGGGAGTAAATGGTTTCATCTGTTCTATACTCTAGGCTTTCTATCATGTTTTAAAGAAACGGCTCTATTTGCTAGAAGGAAGGGAAACCAACCAACCAACCCTGAAAGCTGGACAGACCTGGTGTCTAAACAGATAAACATTAGATTAACCTATCTCCTTGTTGCTACTCTCATTCATTCACTTGCCTTGTAAATGAGTCGGGGGCAAGGAAACTGGGCTTTGTCCTGGCTTTAAAAAGCATTTTAACCATATTAATCTAATCCTAGCTCATTCCCCAGGCATTTTCTGAAAAAAAAAAAAAAAAAAAAAAAAAGCAAACATATAAACCTCCAACCAGTGCCCACTTAGAGGACACAATCCTCCCTCTTCAGCAGGGTTGTGAAGAAGGGACAGGAGCTACATGTGGCCCTGGAAAGCCACTGCTCCTTCTGCACCAGCCAACGCCCACTCTGTGCCCTCCAAGCCAGGACTCTCCTAACCTGCCTTTAGCACAGTCTGTTCTCACATGAGAGTCAGTAAGCCCAAGGATTAATTACTATGCAGGATATAGTTTCAAACATTCCAAAGATGAAGTACCCTGGGGTCATTTATTATCAGGGATTTTACTTGTTCTACAACTAGCAGGGGGACGGTCCCCCCCCCCCGTCTGCCCTCTTCTCCGCAAGTGAAATATCAGATCTTAAGACACCATGCCACTGTGGCTGACAAGATTTAACTCAAGCTAAACATTAAACACACACACACACACACACACACACACACACACACACACCCAAAAACCCACTCATTTTATGGAGCTTATCCTCACAATTAGGAAAGAAAGACACCAAACCATTTAAACATAATTTATGTACATTTATGGCTTTATACAATAATAGCAAAGATTGTTCTTGTGTCTGTAATTACATCAGCATCATCAGGCACTTCTCAGAGAGTATCGGAACAGGAACATGGAATCTGCGCTGTTACTGAACTCGAGTAGTGAAATGCAGGAGGCCGTGGCCATGTCCTGACAGGACTCCTAGGGCCAAACCTGACCATACTGCCAGGATCTGTGCACACCACCCGCAGGGAGGAGGCCAAGAGTAATGCAAGGCTGTTTCATTTGCATAAACCACATTGCATTTTTTAATGAATGATTACTCCCAAACCAAAACCACTAGAAAAATTTCTCGTTTAAAAGTCAGTTATAAATTAAGAACTCTTAAGAGCTGAATGTGAGAATTTCAAGTTAAGTCTGGGGAAGGGAGAGAGGTGTTGGTAACATATACCCAGGAGTTGAACTCAAGTCCAAATTATATACCTTTGGAAAACTTTTTTTCCATTTTAAGTGTCCTTCTCTTCTTGGTACATTCCATTGATTTACTGCCAACTGGGATACAACATTTGCTAATTAATTTAGACTCTGTCAGTTTGCTGAAGCGAACTTTGCAAGTACTGCATCTATTACCTAAATATATTCCATACGTCTATATTACGGAAACAATACTTCATATTTAAAATATCAGAATAGCTCTATAATACAATATGCTTTTAATAACAGTACAAACCAGAGGAAATAAATCAAACAAGGCTGCATAGGTGATATCATTTGCACATTTCACAAAGCAATCATGTACAATAACTGATATACTAATTATTCCAGAAAGTCAGTATTCGTACAGAAAAAGAATTACCAGAGGTCACATAATGTTTCTTTTCAAAATAGACAAGGTGCCTTTCACTGGACTTCACTGTACCCCAGAGAGATACCCAAGATTCATGTTAAAATCCCAACAAAACAAAGAATTTGAAGGGGGAAAAAAGATATTTACACAGACTAAGGAGGAAGAAACATCTCTTTAAAAATTACTCTAGGATGTAGTTAAGATTTTAAGAGTGATTTCAGCTGTAGTTGCCTCTTTATTGAACAATGGGGTGTCTAAGGCTCATCGTGTGAGGGCATGGAGGAGGAAAAAAGGTGGACATGGCAACAGGAATAGGAACCCAAGTATTCTGGCACCAAGTTCTATTACATATGCAGAAGGCACTGCTTAGAGGAACGAGGGTTTCCAAAATCAGACATATTTTGGAGTGGCCAACAGTGAAGATAGTTGGAGAGGCGGCTACTGAATGAATCTTCAAAATAGCAGAAGTCACAGTGGAAAGCTTACAATAGAGCTGGCCCTCCTATAGAAAATCTTTCAGAAATACTTGTGTTCTTGTTAAACACATAGGAAAAACCAAGCCAACAGATCAGCAACTCACATGCAAGACAAAGCAAGTGGGATCTGGGCTAAGTACACAGAAAGGAATCAGAGCCTTCTCAAGAAGTCAAGTGGAACTTTTTTGTGCACCTGCTTCTTTTATTGTGCTGACTTAGGGCATTCCACATGACCTGAAGATACCGATGGACGCAAAGCCAAATTAACATTGGTCTGTTGGTTGTAGGTCAGTGCAGAATATTAAAACATCATGATGCAGAATTATAGTTCAGGTTGCTAAGGGCTAAAGAAATTCTCCAATTTTTAACTTACATTGAGAACTTTTAAAATAAATTCAAGAATACAACATACAGCTGGTGTGTTAGGTTTTCAAATGAATTGATCCAATTTTTAAATAAGCTCTATTCCCTTTGGTAGCCATCTGCACACAGGGACACAAAGCATTCTGCCAATCATCAAAGTCCTATTTTAAGTTTTCCTCCATCCACCTGTGTTTCCACAGTGTGCTAAGTAATCTGTGGGACAGAAGGGAGAGAGGGATTAAGTGTGAGTCTTAACATAATCCTTTGAGGCAGAGCTACAAAACCAACCTCCACCTAGACCAAAATAAGAGCAAAGTAGTATGAGGGAAAACACTTGCTAAAGCTCAACTCAAAAAAAAATAAAAATAAAAATAAAAATAAAGCTCAACTCAAAAAGGTTAAGTTGATCAAAACTCCCAATTTGAGAGAAGAGCACGGTTTTAGACACAGGACTCCTTTTCTGATCCACAAACATCACAAGGCCCCTCAGGAGTAACTGAAATGACACAGCACACGGACATTTATCAGAAGACTCAATGCTCTGGCGGTGTACTCAGATCACGGGATAAGAGGAGCAGATGGAATTTCTTTCAAACACATACATAAAAACATATTACGTTCTCCTAAACATGAAACGCAAAATGTCCACAACTATACATCGCTCTCCTGCCAAAACAGAGCCAGAAACGTTGAGTATGCAAGTACTAATTACAATGATTTTTAAGATTAGCCAGAAACAACACCAAGTAGCATCCCAAAGTGTAAAACCAGTTAAACACGTATAAAATCAGTACTAATCCAGTTAGAAATACAAAGTGAAAATTATGGATGCTGCCTCCAATATCTGGGATTCCACAAATTTACAAGCAGACTATGTAACAAAGTAGACTCTAGTTTTAAGAAAACATTACAGTTCAATATCTATTCCAAAAATGATCTCAAGTCCCAACGATAACATCAAAAATCATTTATCAGGAAATTAGAACCATTTAAATGTTTGTACAAATTTGCAAATAACAAAATAAACAAAAAAATAGAAAAGACCTGTACAAGGCTGGCATTTAAACTATTTTTCCCCGAAAGGTGTTTGACGAGTCCATTATTCAGCAGATTGATAACAGGCTATTGGTTCTCATGTGAATTGTGTGGCTGTGTGAACAGGCCCAAAGCTGTTCCACAGAGGCGCAGGATGGAGGAGAGTTGGTTCTCTGTAGTTCATCTGTTCAGCAGAACACAGGTAGCACAAACAAAAGTTTAACTTATCAAAGACATGAGACCATCACAGTATTACAAGAAGAGTATAAACTTTCCTTGGACCAAATGGATATTTAAAAAATAAAAACAAAAACAAAAATACACACAAATACAATTCTGTAGCTACTGCTTATGTACAAAACTTGAAAGCACACCAGGATCCGAATGTCTTTTCTGCAATTATATGGTGTAGTGAGTTTGGCACTTCATTGTAATGAAATTTCCAATGGCACAGTCCTTATCTACAGCAGCACATAACCTGCAAACATCGGGCAAACTTCCTGTACAGGAAAAGTGTCTTCACTGCCAAGTCTGACGAAAGGAAAAAAGAAACACTTTTCTTTCTTTCTTTCTTTCTTTCTTTCTTTCTTTCTTCTTTCTTTCTTTCTTTCTTCTTTCTTTCTTTCTTTCTCAAGAAAATGAAAAGGAGGGGTGAAGGACATCTTTGGACTGCTTCTCTCAGTTCCTGCTGTCAGACAATCTGAAGTACTTTTAAGTGTAGCCTAGAAAAAACACACAATGAAAATACAGCCAAATTAAAATCAGTTCAATTTAAGATTTTAGAGTGACAGACACGGGGGGGCAGGGGCACGGTGCTAGGGCTTTTGCAAACAGCTCTGAAATCATTCAATGGGGAAAACTCTACTTAAGAAAACAAAAACAAAACAACAAAAAACTGCAGTATTTGATTTACATCAAACATATTCATTTATTGACCAGCTACCATCTAACTGTCAAAAGAAAATCTTTAAAGCAGTCAGAGAGGAAGTTTCCTTATGCTTAAACTCAAAAAGAAAAAAATTCTGCTGCAAAAGGGGCAGAGAATGCATGCTAAAAGATGTTTCTCTGTAAGGAACAGCCAGCTGACATCAAAAAAGTCCCAACTATGTAAGGTATGTGGCAAGGTACCGTGTTCCTATCTTTTAAGCTCTGGCTTCAGAAAGTCTTTTGATATTGGGGTGATCTTACCTGTCCACTAACTCACTCTTAGCCTGACACCCAGCTATGTGTCGTTGTCTTGACGCTGTGCGGGAAGCTTTGGTTGGGCAACACATTGTCAAAGTTAAAATCCAAAGTATCTCCATCCATGAGGTCGTTCCGAATGATGGACTCCATGTCACAGTCCAAGCGCTCAATAAACATGCCATCCAAGTCACTGGGGAGCTTCTCCTGGTGGAGCAGGCCCATCCTTCCATAGCCATTGCAGCTGCTCACAGAGGAGTAGGCTCCCAAGGTGTTCATCTGCATGGGGTGGGACAGAGGCACTTGTAAAGCTGTCTTCACTGGGGCCAAGCGGTTCATACCCGAGGTGTGGGGCATGGTGTTGACCGTGTGGGGCAAGGCACGCCCATTAACTGCAGATGTTGGCTGGCTATGTCCAGGGTGGGTGTGGGAGCTGGGGCTCATCATTTTGTTATGAGATGCCTGGCTGCCATAAGTTGGCATGACCGAATTAGGGCCCATCAACACATTCTGACCAAGGACCCGGCTGTTGGGCTGGGTGACCCCAGGATCAACTGCTGTCATAATGTCATTATGGGGAGGAGAATCAGAAGTAAGCAACTCCTTCAAGAGTCCTGGTGCACAGTTATACTGATTCATACCTCCAAAGCTCGATTTGTTGTCCTGAAGTGTTTGCATAGGCATCTGGGGCAAAGGACTCATGCTGGACTGACCATATGTATATTTTTGGTAGTTTGGGCTGGGTGAATTCAGACTGGTGTTTGGCGGTGCAAATGAGTAGCATGGTGTCTGTTGCATTATGGTGCCAGGTGAAGACTGGGTTGAAACAGTTAATGGTGTTGGTGATGAGAGAAGGTTGAGATTATCCAAAAGATTTTCCATATTTTCAGGATTGCTTATCTCAGACAGGCTAGGTAGAGTAGAAGCCATCTTTGCAGCAGACGGTGGGTACACCATAGAATGCACATCGCCATCTCCAAGATCATCCTGTTCAGTCATAATGGGAGAAAGTCTCCCACTAATAGTACTAGCATTTGAGCTAGTTCGAGGGCGAAACGTACTCCAGTTATCAAAGTCATCATTGCTGTGAGAGCCTGGACTCGCAGGCCACTTAGAAAACTGAGATCCTGGGCTGTCCCCAGCACCCTCCTGGCCAGACTGAAGGGATGCTTTTTTCTTAGCAGCTCGGCCCCGGCTCTTAGCAAATTTACTGTTGTTGTCCATGGAAGCAGCTCTTCTCCGGGGGGATTTTCCACTCTTGCCTCCCTCTGGATTGAGCATCCACCAAGAACTTTTTCCAGTTCCTTCATTCTGCACACGAATGAACTTGCTATGTAGGGACAGATTATGACGAATTGAATTCTGTAAAGCAAAACATCATGTTAGAAACACAGTACTTCTCCAGTTGGAATACTTACTATTCAGTGTGTGTGTGTGTGTGTGTGTGTGTGTGTGTGTGTGTGTGTCTGTGTATAAACACAAAAAAAAATTTGAAGTTTGTGGTACAGATTTCAACCCATACAGGTTCTGAACTCCACTATAAAAGAGCTCAAACCAGTACAAGAAAAATAGTATCTTATCTTAAAAACAGGATCTGTATCTTAATGAAATGAAGGGACAAAATTAAATAAACACTATTATAAACATATTCTTTTATATGGCTGTATTTTATAGAGCAATTATAGGAACTGGTTTTAAAACCACTTAAATCTTCGCTTAGTTAATAATGCTATGCAAATAGCACTCTACAACAAAGTGCTATCAAAAATTCTTTCCATTCTATCACCCCTAAAACTACTGCCAATTCTCTTCAGATTGCACATATGCAATTTATTTTTTTTAATTTTTTTTTATTATTTATTTATGATAGTCACAGAGAGAGAGAGAGAGAGGCAGAGACACAGGCAGAGGGAGAAGCAGGCTCCATGCACCGGGAGCCCGACGTGGGATTCGATCCCGGGTCTCCAGGATCGCGCCCTGGGCCAAAGGCAGGCGCCCAACCGCTGCGCCACCCAGGGATCCCCACATATGCAATTTAAAGAAAGAAGTGAAGCAGGATATATTCTTAGTTTAAGAATTAAAAGCCTGAAAACTAGTAAGATTCCTTTCTACCTTTCAAGCCCATTAGGCAAAAAAAAACAAAAACAAAAACAAAAACAAAAAACAAAACAAAAAAACAACAACAACAAAAAAACCACCATTAGGCAAACATAGGTAAATATAAGGCAAACGGGATCATATTTCTTATTTTAGAAAACCGAACTGCCAAAAAAGGGAAAATTTAAATTTCAGTGTTGTTCACTGCCCCCTCCTCCCCAAAATAACCAGTAGTATGCACCACCTAACTCAAGGTCACTGCATCAGAGGTCCTGCTCTGTCTAAAAAGACATGGGGGAGTGAGGGGACACATGGGACAGGATGGGATGGGATGGGATGGGATGGGACAGTTACAAAGAGCTCTAGACTTCAGTCACTAAGTACAGCTGTTCAATAACTAAATTGTGCCATAAGGATCCCTAACACAATTAGTAAAGAAAATCAACTTAACTTTGGGAAACTTGCTTGGCCCCTAGATCTTAAGTTTCCTTATCTGTAAAGGAAATAAATAATAGACCCACTTAAGGCTATGCTATGGATTAAATGAGATACAGATTATAAAATGTTCAGTGGTGTCTTGGGCACATGGTAAATAAGCAGTCACCAAAAAGTAGGTACTAGATTCCAACTTTGAGGGCACAAGAATATTGTCATTATGAGCCCTGCTCACCCTCTTCCTATTCACTGGAGTGTGGGTAGGAGCTTAGGGGTATTACAAACACAAACTCACAACTCCAAACATACACACAACAGGCCAGAGACAGTCTCAAGCTCCAGTAAAGCAGAAAAGTCAGGCTGCAAAGAAGGAAGCCCCAATTTGATTTCTCTAATGGACAAGTGGTGAGACTGTCAGCAGCTGGAGAGTCTCTAGGACATACGGAAAAGGAAAAATGGGCTCCAAAGAAGGGACTCCAATGAACTCCTGTCCCTTGCCTTGTAGCTTTTTGTTCCCCATACAGAACAGGGCACATAGGAGACCCTTAGAAACTGCACATTCAGTAGCCTCTGTCATCAGGCCTCTGAGCTGAAGTTCAGGAGCAGGATTTGGGGGTGTCCTAGACACCTGGGAGCAGAGCCTTGTGCAGGACTCCCAAGCCTTCCTTGGCGCCCTCTGGCAACTGGATACAAAGCTAAGCAGACTGGACCCCCTGGATATCTGTGGCCCCTCGCCCCAACCACGAAAAGGTTCTGGTAGGATCTGTGGTCACCCAGGGATGCAGCCACAATGCCCACATCCTTATGCCATCAATGTGGCATGTAGATGCTTTTGAGTGCTGATTGCTGCGCCAACAAAAAGCCTTTGCACAGCAGGATGAGGCCAGGGCTTCAACAAAAACTATGAATACAAGTTCTTTCTTATTAAAAAGAGATTGAAAACAGAAAAGAAAAATACATCTCCCTTTCTAAAAAGAGACGCAAAAATCAGAGCAGAGTGAAGCCGGACATCCAGGGCTGAGAAATCCATATTTCAAAATGCCCTCTGACCCTCTGTACTACATTCCACCCAAGGATTGCAACAGAGCAGCAACGTGACAGGCCCTTCTGCCGGGACATACAGTGAGTGTGGGTCAGATGCAGCCCTGAACAAACAGGGGCTTCCAGGCTGGGTGCAGGGTAGGTGTACAAGTGAATGGTATGCAGGTTTCTCTTGTTTCCTAGACTCTCTTCTTTCTTCTTGCCTCTTGACCTAACCTCAACTCAAGACAAGCTTTGAGGAAGACTTAACTACATATTAGAACTCTTAAAAGAGGCCCGGTACTACATTTCTACACTGGCCTAATTTCATTCCCAGAAGAGTCTCCAAACCCTACGGAAGGGTCTTAAACACACACACTTAATGAATGCTCCAAGAGCCACAGCCTTGTCTCCTGGGCCCACCAACACCAGCAAACCAAGTTCTAAATTTGTCTTTAAAGAGGCAGGCCTGTCCTTGGGATGGACCTGGAATGGAGCCAAGTGCTCTGACCCTGTGACATGTTATATAGGCTGAAAATCTGGATGTTTGCACAATATTCCATCATGACTATCTTGTTCTTGGAACACAACAGACACACAGATAAGCCACGACGAAATCTCTGGAGGAAAGGAAGCTTGACTCCTGTCCCTGTCACATTTCGTTAATGATAAAGGGGGAAGATCCTCCTAGATAATGGCTTCCTGGCTGTCTGCACTGACTGGTGGAGAGGGTGGTACAGCTCTACAACACACCTAATTAGATCAGGTTGTTTGTAACCGCAATTAAAACACGTTTTTAACAAGACTGCAGAATATGTAATGATGAAATGTTTAAAAAGTTCAGGAAGCATTCACAAACTCAGGTGGGATATACAGTAACTCACTCCTTAGACTTGCCCCCTCCTCCAAAAAGGGGGTCCGCAGCAATTACCTACTTATCAAAACATCACACTCCCTATTTTTCTAAGAGGACATTTCAGGTCGCTCTTTGAGTAAGAGTTGTCTTCTAACTTTGCCAACAATTAAAAAAATTTTTTTTCCAAACAGGAAAAGGTCTGCTGTGCAGGGCTTGTTACAAAAATTCCTGTTTTTCATACAGCCAGCAGGGCTCTGGTGAAGGGGGCGAGGGGTGGGGTGGGTGGGGGAGGTGAGTAGGCAAGTCTTGTAAAAATGTGTGTTGCTATTAATGGTATTATATCTGTAGATCCCTGCGGGACAAAGCCATGACTGGAGGAAACTGCAGTTCTCCCGTGAACCGTGCCGCAGAGCCACATGCGATTCATCAGTGCTTGGAGATATTCAGTTCTCCATCTATGAAACAAAGTAGTACCTGAGGAATGAGGCAGGCTGTAAAGACAGAAAACTCAGGCACTGCAAACCACTTACCTAAATCCTGAGTTTTTACATGATGCCATTAGCGCCACCCCTCGCCCCTCAAGACACATCAGCAAATTTCCTCTCCACCAGCTATATTTCTCTGCAGCCTAGGCTTTTTACTAATGCTAAGCTGGATTTCCTTTGCACATACCCTCTCTGCAACCTGCTCCCCAGACCTTCCCCCAAGCAAGCACATTCTTCTTGGGGAGCCTGACTTGAGGAACCCAGTAGGCCATATTGGGGGCAGTAGCTGCACAAGGTATGTGCTTGTTTGTCCACCTGTTTCTAACTCCCAGGTGTTTGACTTCATGAGATCTTAAAGGGTAAGGGCTAAAGTATGTTTTTATTTCCTAATCTTAAAGCGCCTAGCAGACGCACTGTGCATATGCACATACACACAACTCTGCATACAGGACAGAGTCAATGAATGTTTATTGACTGACATCCCAAACAAACCACAAGAAAGATGTAGTCTCTTACACATCTTTGATCCATCTATTCATGTACCAATTTGTGCCAAATAATATTTACTGGGACCTATTTCGTGCTAGCTAGATGCAGTGAAGGACAAGAGAAGGAATTAGGCAGAGGCTGCCCTCGAGGTGTTTTATGATCTACCTGGGCAAGAACAAGTCCGCCTAAACAGCCACTGGAACAGAAAGTGACGCACAAACAACTGTCTAGGAGCACTGACATTTTCCTGCCAAAGGCCACCCCCCCCACCTCCTCCTCCAACTTCTCTCTCATCCCAAATGTCCCTTCCTTCTGGAATCATCCCATCCTACAGCTCTCTAACACAGGACCTTGTTTACTCACCACAATTACGATTCTGCTATGTGTGGTCCCTTGGGGGTGTGTCTGGCTCCCCACTACACTGTAAGCTGCATGAGCTCAGGACCTGGTCTGTCTTCTTGTACACTGTATCCTCACCGCTCCATCACCAAGAGGCACTCAAGTATCTGTTGAATGGATTAATAGGTTCTACATTTACAGGGTTGTTGTGGAGATGAAATGAGATAACACATGTAAAGTGCTTACCTCAATCAATATTAGCTGTTGTTACTATTAGGATAATGGTATCTATAAAATAACACGTCTGTGTTTTAAAGACTTATCTGTATTATAGCCACTAGTCTTCTTTATGATCATACTTTGCACTGTTGCCACTTAACGTAAGGCTTTTACATGTTAGTACTAGAAAAACAAACCAATCTAGGGGTAAGAATAAGATGTTTTCTCTCTGCACTAGAGAGTGTCTTGGGTGCTGTGGATAGATGTTAATAATGAAGGAATTCAGATACCAAAGTTGGTCTATTACTACCCTTACCAGCGAGTGTCACAAGAATCCTGAAGTTTCCTAAAGGTGTTGTCACGGAGCCTTGCATGTGGGCATCACACAGAGTTGCGGGTTCTCCATGCTCTGGACCCAGCCA